TCCCCCCCCCCCCCAAAAAAAACTTAGCGTCCATCTATACAACAACCTTAGAACTTTGGCGAATATGATCAATGCTAAAATGATGCTCATGTTACAGTATAACGTTATTACTAATACGTTACTGTAGCTGTCCTTGCCGTGTCCTCCTTGGTAATGCAAAAATGATTCCCAGGGGAAAAAGGTACGCAGATTTGCCAAAACGGCGAGCTCAAAAGACACCTACCATCGCCCTTGCCGTCCTGGAGAGCATGTCTGGCTTTTGTGTTTACTCAGCTCCCGCTAAATACGGTGCAAAGTTCAGGAAGTAAGCGCCGGGATAGGTGAGCAATCAGCTGTGGAGCACGACTGTACCTTGGGGTCGTTCGCGAGCTGGTGTTGTGGGCGAGTCCATTCATAGCCAGGATTTGTAACGCCAAAAGATACCCATTGCAAAAATGTATCAAACAAAGAATAAATCAAACTCGACGTAATGATTTACAAAAAAACTTCAAGCTGTTCTTATCAACGAAAAGTACTTCAATCGCGAACATTTTGCTCTCAAAATTGACGAAAATCTACCCTTTCTAGAATCCGTTCGTCCTTCGCTAAGGCGCTTTTCCTCTGGGAATTTTGATCTCGTGCCCAGGATTCAGTGACGACGCTGGGAACTTGCTTCCAACATGGCGGCGGCCGGGTGTTTGCAGCGCGTGTTGGACGAAAGCGAGCTCTCTGCTCTTCCCCAGGCCGTTGTTGAGAAGCTAGAGGGACATTTGAAGAATTATGACGTTAGTATGGATAGCGTGCAGGCTGATTGTGAGCAGGTCAAGATAAGTTTGGGTGAGTTTATCCCATGTTCGTATGCGCCCCCCTCCCTACCACTTTGTTGCTCCCGCGCAAAAGTTGGACTGCCGTACAACGTTTGTTCATAATTTTTGTTGATTTGATTACTATTAGGAGACCTGTGTATGAGGCTTGATTATCCCGAGAACCTACTTGTGAATCTTTTTGTTGATCAGAACACACAGAAGCCTTTCGTTTAGTATTACAAATAGTCTAGAGATGTAAAACCAAGGAGGTTCAAAACGAAGAGGAAACGAACGGTCAGGCGCACGATATCGACGAAATAAACAACTTTTACTATTAAAGTCGAAAATCTGTCTCTTGTTGATCAAGATAGATATTTTCATTCTTTAAAGGTATAAGGAGTGTTTGACTATCCAACTACTAAGTATTATACTGTACATTTCAGACAAAGAGTTGTGAACGAGGACTTTGGCTATAAGTTAGCATAAGAATCCTAAAATATAATTATGACTTGCTAAGAATTGTGAATGAGCAAGGACAAGCTTCTTGGAATGAGTCATTGAAGAAATTGAAATTTTAGTACATCATATTTTTTACCAGAAATTGTGTATAGATGAGCATCTAACAATCCACTACAATCTATCCTAAAATATTATGACTTGCAAAGAATTGTAAATGAGTCACAGAAGAAATTGAAATTTTAGTACATCATATTTTTTACCAGAAATACACAAAATCAAATATGAATTCAACACTGTACATGTACTAGTACCTTTCAGTATGAGTGATAAATGCCATGTACAAATGTATTATTGTGTATAGATGAGCATCTAACAATCCACTACAATCTATTTACAGAGGAGAAAACCCAGCTCCTTGAGAGGGAAGTTTCCACATGCCTGGATGTGCAACAGCAGCTACATGACCTGGGTGTGTATTCCAGTCTGACCTTTTGTCCATCTACCTCAATATGACAAAAGGCCAATCCTCACTGTCCATCACAACTAGCTGTTCAACCAATAATAATATGATGTCTATTGGCAATTAGTAGTTTGACCAATGAGAGTTGCTGCATGTCTGTCAAATACTTGCATGTATAATTTATGTTTGTTTTTAATTTGCATTTCTATGCTTAGATGACAGTGGTGGGCTGTAATTTAGTGTCACTGTAACTTCCAAAATACGAATGTGAAATGAAGTTTCTACAGTGTTTAATAGTATAGAGAAATTTATATTCCTTGTAGTCTTTAACAAACCAGCTCTAACTACTCATACTGCCAACTACATTTATAAGATTACCAGAAAGCGAGAGGAAGTTGAAAGTACTTGTGTACTATAGCAGTTTTATTATCAACATTGATGATGTACTTTGTCAATATGTGACCTGTCTTTAGCCCAGTGGGGCAAAATGTACAATAAAGGTCTTCATTCATTCATTCATTTTATAATGACAGTGTTATCCATGGCAAAACTATTTGGCTCACATCTTCTCTTCCTTCCTTACAGAGGAGAAGCATGTTGAAGTGGAAAAGCAGCTCAAGCAATACAAAGAGTCTGCTGGTGAAAATGAAGCCACACAAGTAAGGGTTTTTAACCATTCATCAGACATAATGTACGTGTAACTGCTTGAAGAAGATGAATCCATGTCACACATTTGTCACACATACATGCACTTTAGGGACATGGAATTTTTCTTTCTGTGAACAGAAGTATTGTTTTGGGTGGCAAAGCTGTGGGCTTCTGTGTATGTCTGGACAGGGAACATGTCTGTTGAGAGCATGTGGGCAGAGGATTGACAAGCAGAGATAAAATGACAGAGATACACAAGTCAGACACTGGAAACATGGTGAACTTGAAGGCCATGAAAACCCTGAATATCATCAGATTTCTTGTTGTGGCATCTCTGCTTGTTTGATTGGTTTATTCCAGCTGAATATTGAAGTGAGGACAATGTGGACCTCTTAGCCATACATTTTTCTGTTGGCATTCTCAGAACAAGCTGGAGCGTACCATCAGGTCTCTGGAGGAGGAGAAACAAGAGATGCACCGCATGCTGGAGAAAAAGACATCAGAAATCGACAGACTTAATGGTAAAATTGTTGCAGTGTCACAATATTTGAGTTTATTCTACATAAGGTTCCTATTAAGTGTTTGTATAATTGTATCTTCAGCATTTGGATACGTTTCTGGTGATATCCAAATCGTAAATCTTGTGTGCAGTATCCCAGTGAATCACTAGATGGTGGATGTGCATTGTATACATGATTGACAGTCAGATTGTCTGTCTTGAGAGCTTCCTCCTCCTAAACCACACAGATGAATGGAAGTCCATGTCAGAGCAGCTAGCAGAGGCCAACTCCACCAGGCTGGAGGCCAAGGTCAAACTGGACCAGATTGAGAGCCAGGAGCTCACTATCAAGGTTAGTGGAGTAAACCAGCCGGTTAACATGTTAACTGCCTTCAGGTGTAACAGAACACAAGTGGAGTAGAGTAAATGGGTGTAAAGTGCCTTTACCAATGGCATATTATTGGGGCTTGACTAGAGATTGAACCCAGGACTTAGCTTCCAAGTCAACAACCCTAGCCATGGGACCAGCTTGCCACCTTCAGTGTGTTTTGATACTAGCACATGTATCTGATTTTCAGTACAAGGAGAAACGCCTGGAGCAGGAGAAGGAACTGCTGACAAACCAGAACCAGTGGCTGAACACTGAACTGGAGAAGAAAACACAGGAACTTTTGAACCTAAGGAAAGAGAAGGTACACTTCTAAAAACTTACTCTCAGCTGGTGATCTTTGATCAGGATCTCTACAGGTAGAATTGTTGCTTGAACTGGCAGACGTCCTGTTAACAGAGACTCTGACCATGACATACATAAGCATGAGAACCTCTTTTGCAGTCCACAGAGATCCTGCACCTGAAGACCCAGCTGGACAGTAAGACTGAGGAGGCCAGCCATCTGCTGGGGACTGTGGAGGGGCTGAAGAAGACAACCACCGACCAGACCAGCAGGATCGAGACTCTCATCCAGAAACTCAAGGATGTAAGATGCACGTAGCACAAGGGTTTCTCAAATAACTGTTGTTCAAAGAAGTGGGTTTGTGGTTCCATGTGTAATGTTATGCCTTTTGGGTAATAAATATGTCAAAGCTGAAAGCCCCTGAGACATACAAATATGTCTGGATACATGTATCAAGTAAAGTGTTGACAAGAACTGTTTACAACATATTACAAGGACCTTCACCTTTGATGCTGTGCATGCACAGTTGGAACCCCGAATCCGCCTATTGTCTGAAAATGTTGTTTTGTGGAAGGAACAAGTAGGTGACTGGTCTGTGTTCTTTGTAAGCTAGTTTTGTTAGATATTGTCTGAAATGAAACATGTTTAAGATTAAGAAACAAGTTTTATGTTTTTGTAACATCTGCCTCTTGTTTTCCCAGTCACATGATGCACAGTCCATTGCAGATGAACAGTTCAGAAATGAGCTCCACTCCCAGAAGAAGCTGGCCTCACTCTATCAGGTCTGGTCTTTTTCACTGACATTTAACTAATGATAGTTGACACCACATTTTGTATTGTATATTTGTCCATTGTATATTTCAGAAACATGAAACATGTATCTTGCTCCTGTGCCTTACAGAGTGCTTCAGAGGAGGCAGAAACAAAGTCTGCTGAACTGACTACAGCTGTACAGGAACTACAGAAACTCCTGAAACAGGCCACCTCAAGTAATTATTCTCTTACAGCTATATTCTCAGTTGATATGATTTGTGTTTATATATTTCTTAAAATATTTGAGGCCAGTTTGATGTCTATGTCCTTTCACTACTTTTGGTTTAAAGTTTTTTGCTGCTAGGTGTGTAAATTTTTTGTGTGTCATTATGGTTGTTTGTTTTTGTTCTCTACAGCACAAGAAGAGTTAGAAGAAAAACTAGAAAAGACTGAAGATGAGCTCAGAAAAAGGGTAACAGATTCAGGTGGGTATTGATTTAGTTGCAAATGACTTCCATTTTGTTATTTTTTTAACTTAGTTTAAGTGTTACAGCTACGGATATATGTTTTTTTACTGTCTCATAACAGACTCTTTTCATTACTTCTAGATGAGAAAATAAGCAGCTTGGAGGAAGAGTTGAAGAATGCTAATGACCTACTGATGGTAGCTAGAAAAAGAGGTAAGTACTAAAATATCTTGTTTATCAGACTTTCAGCAGTTCCCATGAGCATACTAAACAATTCCTAGGATAAAGCTCTGCTCTCTGTCCCTCCCAAACTTTTTGAGCAGTAGAATCTTTACTCTGAAGCTTCCATCATGTCATTTCGCTAATCACCCTGGTTATCTGTTCCAGGTGCTGTGTCCATGTCAGACTCTGAGGTGGGGTCCACCTTCCCAGTAGCAGCTGCCACCAGCAGTATGCTGACATCTGGGATGACTCTTACTGAGGTAATTAACAACCTGCAGATTTTCTTGGAATGTGCATTTGCACCCGATATTTCAAGCATCATCATATAACTCAAATTGTATGCAGTACAGTTCATAATTTTATGAAACTTTTTTTTTCCTTTTTCAGATCTACAATGAGTATGTAAAGGCAACTGATCAGTTGGAGCTGGAGAAGATGGAGTCGACTCGAATGAAGGGTTACCTGGACCAGATACTGGAGGTACATGTAGGATCCTGTCATCTATGTGTTGGTAGAGTTGTCAATGGTGAAGTACACTGTGTGAGTTATAGGGTAGGGTGTATATGTTGAGTGCAGTCCATGGAAACTTCCTTCTTGTTTGTCAAACCTTTAAGTTAATCAGAATTTTTGAAAAATTGTTGGATCAGCAAAGTTTGTAACTTTATGCCAGTACCATACATGTATATGTATATGACAGGAATGATGAAAAAAAGGCATCTATCCCTTCAACAAGACAGCAGTCATGACTAGTTTCTATTTATGTTTGTACTCTCCAAAAGTAGATGTGTTACACATGTATGAAAATAAGATACATGTATTATTAAGAAAAAATTTTCAGAAAAAGTGTAATGCTTGTATCTTTCTGCAGGAGATAGAACAGAAGGCCCCAGTGTTGCAGAGGCAGCGGGAGGACTATGAGAGGTCACTACAGACCATCAACAAACTGTCGCAGAAACTGGACACCACTGCACTGGTACGGGTGGAACACTCCTGCAGTTTTTGTTACCAGAAGACTATTTTCAGTCTGGTATTTAGCTACCTTCTGCCAAGGAGTCTACAATGTACATGGAGTCAAATTTACCACTAGGTTTCATAGTTACCTCTATGTATGGAGGTTTTGTTTCCTGTGTGTTTGTTTGTTTGCTTGTGTCTCCGTAGTTTTTTTAAACAGTGAAGCCACTGGAAGTGAGGGTGTAACTGCAGACTGATTGTTGAATTGTAGGTCAAAATGGTCTCCCAGCAGGATATGGAAACAAGAAATTCAAAGTAACTCTAAATACCAGATACAGGTTTGAAGTCTTTGATTTCTTGTTTGACAATCACAGTCATGCTGTTTTGTCAGGAATGTGAGCAGCTGAGAGCGGAGGTTGATGACAGCCGTCGCCGGACATCCCACCTGACGCGGGAGAACGAGCGGCTGTCGACCCGCGCGGTGGACCTGAGCCAGCAGGTGCGTGTCCTGCTGAAGGAGGTGGAGGAGGCTCGCGGCGGGCACGTGGCATCTGGAGAGGCCGAGGTGTCGTCCTCCGCAGATGTGGCCACCTCATCACAAGTCATCTCACAGAAACTGGTCACATTCAGGTGGGTTGTTTGTAGTCCTAATCAATACGTTCTTGACAGCACACAGGCTGAGGATGTCCCTCACACACAACCATTATGTCTTTAGGTATGTAAAACTGCCTGTTGGTAAGAATAGGTCTCTGACAATAACACCCAACACATGTAGCACAGTCAACACTTCCCTCACAAAAAATACACAGCTGATGTGAAAACAGGTTAGTAGTACTGCACATGCATCGTTTCAAATTTCCTGTTTTCTGTTTTGTTCTTGTAATTCTCCTTGCTAAGATCAACCCTTTGTTGGTGCCAAGGCTCCAACTTAATGTAAACATCTCCCCCTACAGGAGCATTGAGGAACTGCAGGAGCGTAATGAGCAGCTGCTGACCCTGATGCGAGAGATGAGCGCTGAACACGAGAGGGCGGAGAAGGAAACAACAGACACCAGGTCTGAAAGTTGGACTGTATTTATAAATTGCCTTAAATTTGGTTACTTTAATTCTGGCAGGAGGTTAGGCCTCAGCACAAAATCTGCTCATGATTTGGTGTTACACTTCTAATCCTTAGAATATTTTGAAAATACCTTGGACAATGAAGAAATATATCAAGTACTGGGTAGTTTGATTTGTAATGTCCCTGCCTATCATGCATACCTTTCCCTACCTATGTAACTTTTTTTCCTTCACCAGGATCCAGGAGTTGGAGCGTCAGCTGGAGATGTCCCTGCAGGATGTGGAGGCTCTACGGGAGGCGAGGGACAAACAGCAGACCATGGTGGAGTCCCTGGTGCAGCAGAGAGACATGTACAGGGTCCTCCTGGCACAGCAGACTGCAGCTCCGGTAAGGCTGCTGCACTCATTACAAGTACTTCAAGCCCTGGCTGTAAGTGATTATTGTGCATATGGAACATTACATTTATAGAGCCCAGCAGAATGAGAGATTGATTGACTTGAAACTTGGGATTTATGAATGGGAATAGCACATTCCTAGCATCCTCATCGCATTCTGTCAGCACAGACTTGCCAGCCCTAGATAGCAATCTCTATTCTGACATATATTTTCCATAGAGCAGCAGTATGTAATATTTTATGTCACTGTTCTGATTGCAGACCCCCATGGCACTAACACCTGGTGTGAGACAGGTGACGTCCACGCCCATGCCAGGTGCTGTGGAGCCGAGGACACCTGGTATCCAGGGTGCTCTCATGGAGGATGAGACACAGACACAGGCTGCCCTGAAACAGCTCAAGTCTGAGTATGACACTTACAGGAAGGAGAAGGCAGAGAATGACAGGTACTGTGCCTGGATACTGAGAGTTTGTCATTGCAAAATGAATCTTGCAGATTTTCTTTTACCATCCTACTTCCTTAAATATTAATTTTGTTGATTTTTGTTCTGATTGCAGAATCCTTCAGGAGCAGCTGGAGAAGCTGAGGTCAGAGGTCAGCGACTTCCGAACACAGAATGCCCGGCTGTCCTCTCAGGTAAAGTAAATTGATGATTTTATTTCGCAGTAAGAGGGAAAAGAAATTTCAGCCATTTTTCCACTGTATTTAAGACAGAGAAATTACCTCAGAAATCTTTATACTGACACTTTTAATCATTATTGCTTCATGTCTGTGTGTTGCAGCTTGAGTTTTCAGGAGAGAGGTTCAAAGTACTGCAGGCTAACATGGAGAGTTACAAGAAGGAGATCTCATCCCTGACAGAGAGGAACCACAAGTATTCCAACGATGTGGTGAAACAACAGGGACTCATTAACACTCTCACTCAGGTCAGTATGCATGTAGTAAGTGGTATATTTAATATATATTTGTATAACAGAACTCATAGCCTCTTGTACTTAAAAGATAGAATGGGAGACTACTGTAGCTTTTGGATTTAGTAGAGGTTATATGAAAAGATAATGCATGAAAACTTGAGGATACATGTATGTATGGCTTTAAACCTTTGTTTTTGTTATCAATTTTTGTTTTAAGCTCAGTTTTCTTTAAAATGTGCTTACAGTCATGGCAGTGTTTTCATAACATTCCTTTGTTTCCTTTAGGACCAAATGGCGACTAAGGAGCGCCTGGCACAGACGGAGGTTCAGCTGAAGAACCTGCTGGTGGAGAGAGACATGCTGAAGACCACAGAGGCCCAGCTGTCACGGGAGAACGAGTCACTCAGGAGAGAACAGAAGAGTCAGAACATCCTCTCCACTAACCTGCAGATGATACAGGTCTGATTCTGTCTCCAACCTTCATTCTTCTATTGTTTTTTTTTGTTTTTGGTGTGTCTGTTTGTGTGTTTGCTTTTGTTTCTGTCATGTATGGCCATATGCTAGGCACATCAGAGACATTGTGAGACATCAGAGACTGATTGTTGGGATACTTTATTGACTTATAGCACAACTTTATTGACTTATTAGATGTAGCAATTGCACTGACAAGGAAGTTAGGCCTGAGGTCCCAGAAAAGGTTACCCCTTTCCTATCTTCAGTTGCCTTATGGGAGCCAGGTATATATCCAGACTGAAATGTTCTTTTTTTTTATCCCAGAACAACCTTGAGCGAGCAGACTTTGAGAACAAGACTCGGTACCAGTCTCAGATAGAGAACCTGGAGAGAGAGCTGAGTGCTGTCAGGAAGAAGCTCGAGGATGAAGCCGAGCATCACAAGAAGGTTGTCAAAGGCTGGGAGGTACATTTGTACTTTGGGTTTCTTTATACTTCCGGGTATTGATGTGTTCTTTTGGATTGCCGAGTCGTGGGTTTGTGTCTGTTGTAATGGGTTTGCTTGTATATTGGGTGGGAGGTGATTTTGACAAGTTCCAGCGTAGAGTGGAGCATACATGTCATTGAGCAAAATAAGTGATACATTGGGCTTTCTCTCAGGCTCGTCTAGAAGAAGTGCAGTCCCAGCTGACCAGGTCAGAGGGCGCTCATAACTCCACCAGGGAAGAGCTGAGGAAGGCCAATGACTTTGTGCAAGAGCTTAAACAACAGGCATGTGTATTACATATTATTTTGTGAAGATTTGTATGTCAGGTGCTGTCCTTGAAATTTGTAGTGAGGACTTCATCATCTTTTCCAATCAAACTTCATGCAAGGAGCAACAACATTTCATTTAATTTGTACTTCCGGGTACAGAAGTATTGTTCTGTGTGGCTTTGTGTGTCCATTTATCTGGACAGAGTAGCTTGACAGCACATGGTTGGGGAAAGATTGACAGGCAGAATGTTGTCACTCAATAACAGTGAAATTCCCTGTTGTTCTCCCTTGCAGTGCTCCACACTGGAAGGTAAGTTGGCTTCAGCTGAAATGCGGCTGTCCCAGTCCCAGAGACAGGGTGAAGCTGCTGAGGGGACGTCACCCATGGACACGTCATCCCTGACGGACGAGACAAAGACACTCAAGAACCAGCTGCAGCTGCACCTGAAGGAGATTGCAGGTGAGCAGATGTTCCAGCATTCCACAGCTGTTTTCTTTTGTGTGTAATTGTGTGGAGGACAGTAGAGCTAATACTGGTATGTTTTTAATGGGATAGAAGTCTTTTGGGATTCTTTGGTTGCATGTCTGTAATTTATTGAGGTAAAAATAGGCTTTGACGGCCATTTTTCTAACTGAAGCTGAAAAACATTTTGGGGGAAAAACACCCAAAAAACTCATGTCATGGCACAAAATAAAACCACTATGAAAGTAAATGCATTTACAATATATCATATCTTTTGGATGACTCTTGTGTATACCAGTAGCATGGAGTAAATGAAGTCCCACTTGTGATGTTATCACAGGTCTGAAAGAGCAGGTTAGCCTGGGCAAACAGCATGTGGAAAATTACAAGAACATGGCCACAGCCATGGAGAAGAACCTGTCAGAACAGAACCAGGCTAGCAGGCAGCTGCAGGAGAGGCTGGAGACACGTCTGAAGGAGGCTACACAGACACGGGAGACCCTGGAGAAACAGATCCAACAACTGGAGAGGGAGAAACAGGCCGCAGGCAAGGAGCTGTCAGAAATCAGGGTCAGTACACATACTAAAAGTCAAAATAACAAATGTTTGTTATCCGAATGTATACATGTACATGTACTTCAGTTGCTATATTTCTGTTGTTTTATTTTGCTGGGCTCTAGGAAGATTAGTGAATATTGTATCACTGATGGAGCTCTGAATAAAACCAAACCAAATGTTTTCCTGACCGCAGGACTCCCAGGGGAAGCACACGGCTGACCTGAGGAAGTCCCTGGCCAGTCTGCAGACGGAGGTGAGGGATGCCCTACAGAAGGCAGAGGATGCCAACAGGAAGGAGCAGGCCGCTCGCAACGACCTGGAACAGCAGGTCAAACTCGCCTCAGAGGTAACACATCTGACTCTGGATTTGTTAGACATTTTTCTTGTGACTTTTGCCTGGTTTTGGACTGAACAAGTATTGAGTATTGACCCCAAGTCTTTGTTACCTACATGTGTATGTGTATGGAGGTTTTTTTTTTGTTTCTCTGAATATGTGTTCTATCCTGGCAGTAGTATGACACTATTTCATGCTATTAACAGGCCCAGGACAAATATGAGCGAGAACTGATGCTCCATGCTGCTGATGTACAAGCGCTGTCCGCTGTGAAGGAACAGCTAGAGGATCACAACGACAAGCTGTCAGCTGCTCAGGAGGAGGCCAAGAAGGCTGGAGAAGAACTGCGTTTGGCAAAGGTCAGTTCATCTTCTTATCTGTTCCTTGTATCATTGTTAGATACTTTCATGATACTGTTACAGTGTTTTGTTTATTTTCTCCATCACAAACCCTCAGATTTGCAGTAGTGCTCACACTGTTTCAAGTTTGGAGTTGGAACATGTATAGTAGTGATACAGTGGACATGCATGATTGCCATGATTTGGTGTCTGCAGGTATCATGGGAGGAACAGAAGCGAATCCAGGAACAGTCCATGTCGTCTGTACAGTCTCGCTGTCAGGAACTGGAGAAGCAGAACAACCTGCTACATGAACAGATAGAGAAGGTAGATTATGTCTCTTATCAGTATGAGACAATGCCATTGACTTACTTTCATGAAGAGATTAGACCAGTAACCAGATTCCGTCATGTGAATATAGTTACATGTAGGTCCCTTCAGTCAAGTAATTAAAAAAAAGAATTGTTGTAACAGCACATCTAGTAAGGCAACATCATCTAATGGGGAAAGGGGAGCAAAACCTGTTGCTTGTCGTTGAAGGTTCTTTTCCAATATACACTCCAGGTAGCTTATTCTGATTTTTCCCCATGTCTCTTGTCCCTAGCTGAGTAACCAGATGTTGAGTCTGCAGACACGTCCAGCAGGAGAGACCACTGTGACGGCCGCCTCCGTCAGCGAGGAGGGCAAGTCATCGGAGCAGCTGCTGGAAATCATCCACTTCATCCGGCGCGAGAAAGACATCTCGGAGACTCGGTTTGAAGTCGCACAGGTGTGCTGAATTTTTCTCTTCGAGTTTTGAGACATGTGAAGTGTAATGTACAGTAACAGACATCACTCAAAATCATAGATGAAATGCCATGGATAATTCTACCTTATTGGTAAGACCTTATTCAGGAGGAGTGCAATATTCCTGTGAATCACTAGGTGGTGCTCATATCTACCTGGCATAATCCTCTGCTCTAGTTTCCTTTTTGAATGATTGCTGAAGATCTAATGATTCAGTATATAATGTACAGTTGATTGAAGTATATGTAAAATGGTTTTAGTATGTTTATCCTTTAATGTTTAACCTTTGCTTCCTCAGGCGGAGAGTGTTCGGTACCAGCAGAGACTTGAACAGCTGGAGAGACAGCTGTCAGAGGCACAGCAGGCACTGGCAGAGGAGCGCAGCAGGACAGAGGTAAGCTCCACAAACATTACCTTGTTTTGTGGTTTGACACTTCCTTTGTCCAGAGAAATTGGAGGCTGATGAACAGCTTGATTTTTAGCACCTATTACCAAAACTGGATTTGTAGCCCTGTACTAGTAATGCTGTCTGTCCCCTGCAGGCCACAGCTCAGACTGCCCTGCAGCACCAGGAGCTGATTAAGAAGGTGGAGACTCTGAACGTGCTGACTGACAGTAACAAGCTGCTGAGGGAGGAGAAGGAGAAGGTGGAGGGACAGCTGCAGGAGGTCACAGCTAAGGTGGGCAGGATGGTAGCATGGCGGGAAAAACATGTGTTGGTAGAACAGAAACAGGTGAAATAAAAGAAATTCTCTTTCACAGGTAGTGACTGAACAAATATGGTATGTACAGTATATACTGGTTCATTGTAACTGGGAAATTCACCTAGCTCCTTTCAACAAAGTATAATGAACAGTGGACCACAGCTTAACACCCTGCCCTAAAGACAGCTTACAATAGCGTTGATGTTGGGTGATTGACAACAGCCTGAAATTCAAACTCCCAACCTCTTAGCTTGGTCCAGAGGTAGGGTCTCTGATTTGGAACTCTCTTCCTGACAAGTGTTTCCCTCCCAAATACAACCCACTGCCTTTGAAAACCAACATTCACCACCAGCTTGGTCACCAACTTAGTTCAGTGCCCGGAAGTTGTTTTTGGGCCTTGGATTCAGCAAACTTGTACTGTTCCCAACCCCAGGTCCAACAGCTGCAGAAGGACATTGAGCCGCTCCAGGAGTCCAACCGTAAGCTGTCCACCATGAACGGCTCCCTGCAGGCAGAGAACACCATGCTGAAGAAAGACGTGGACCGCTGGACGGCACGGACACACCAGCTGATCGAACAGTCCAACAAGGCTGACCCCGAGGAGATTAAGAGACTGACAGAGGTGAGATACATGTAATGTTTTCTCACTTATGGGATTATCATACATGTCCTTCACAGTTTTCTGAGGGAGAGGAGAGATGTTGTTCTAGTAAACTGTACTTTGTTTAGTGCCCTGGAATCAGTTTCTTGGCCTTGCACTGAGCAAATTTGTTTTGAAAAATATTTACAGGAGAGGGACAACCTACAGAAGCAGCTGAGCAGCAACACAGAACAGATGCACAAGTTCCGCGCCGAGTCCTCACGCCTCAACTCACAGCTGTCAGCAGCGAGGAACGAGACCAGCGCAGCCAAGGGAGAAATGACTAAATTCAAAACGGAGGTGAGCCAACTGAAAGCCCAGTACAGCTCACTACAGGGAGAGATGGCAGGGGAGAAGAGCTTCAACAGCAAGCAGACACAGGTAACGTCTACTTCTACTATTCTTTCTAGTCAAGGCAGATGCATGTGTTTCCATAGCTCCAATCCATACAGTGTTCAGTGGTGGTGACTATATTGGATGATTGGACACATTAACAGCAAGTACATGTACCTCCAGGCCATGAGATATTTAGAGCTGTTGTAAATTTCTTGTTTTATCTTGTCCCATTGATTATGCATGGGTGGTCAAGTACCTTGATTAAGTCTTTAAAATGTGTCATCTGTTTAAACCTAAGAATTTTTTTTTCCATTTTGACCTTTTGAAAACTATTTTTCTGCATTCGTGCATCCCATTATGTCATGTTCATCGATGTTGTCTCTTTTCAGGAGATTGAAGCTCTGAAAACACAAGTCCAGACCAAATCTCAAGAGGTAGAGGAGAAGGTTAAGAATGTCACCCAGCTGAAGAAGATTGGTCGACGCTACAAGATGCAGTTCGAAGAGAAAAACACAGAGTGTGAAGCACTCAGCAAGGAACTGGAGTCTGTTAAGAAGGAAAATGAAGAGCTTAAGACCAAAGCTGCACAGGTAACCAATGGGCTACAAAACTCGTGTATTTTTACAGATAACCATTTACTGCTTGAAGTCATAGCCCAATAACTTGTCTAATTCTTTGCTTCTTTTCCTCATTGGTTGTGTGGTTCCTGTGTGAACTTGTAAAGTTTCAAGTAACAGATCATAGTAATTGTAAACTTCAGTGTATGATGGTTCTGTCCAGTCTGAAGGAACCTGATTTGTTAAAAAAAACTGATTTTACAGGCACCGACACAGGCAGCCACAGAAGCAGCAACTCCTCAACAACAAGCTCAGTTAGAGGAGAAGACAAAGGCTCTGGAGGAGGCGCAGCAACAACTCAAGGTAAGGTCACTGACTCGACTGGAATTAATCTAACTGCAGATCTTGAAATATTCTAGTTTATTTTATTCCTGCAGTGTGCAAATATGTGTTTTGTTTCATCTGCAAATTCAAAATACTGCAAAAATCTCCTTTATGGTAATAAAGCCACCAAAGTTTTTGAGATCTGTTGTTGAAGTATAACCGGTTTCTGCCCCCAGTAACATTGAACCTAAAGTAAAAGTTTTTTGTCAACTTTCCCCTGGACCCAGGACATTAACTGATCTTTTTAAATGTAGCATACATGTATTTAATCTTCTCCCTGCTACCAAAACCCCATATGCAATACAAATTTGGTGCCCAATGGCTACCTTAGCATACTGAAGTTTAAAGTCTTTTGTGACAGTTCCACCCTGTTATGTTTGTGGTAGACATTTGAGGAGCAGGTGACCAAGTTAAGACAAGAGGCAGCTGATGTGGAGGGGAAACTGAAGAAGTCTGAAGAGGAGAAGTCTGCCCTTCAGCTGTCCGAGTCAATCCTCAGCAAGTCTCTCACTGATGAGAAGGAGAAGGCCAAGAAAGTGCTGTTTGCTGTGAGCATTTCTTTTCCAAACATTTTACTGTTTTTAAGTTAGAGCTGTGTACCTAATGATTGTACCCGTAAAATTAATTAGGCACATTTACAGATCCAGACCTGAACGTCTGGTGTATCTGTACCTGAACAAAATAAAACACTAGTGGACACCATTTTTTTCATCCAGAAGATAGGTAAACTGAATCTTCAATTTTGACATCTCTAAACTTTGTAAATAAGACTTTTTTTGTATAAATACAATGTATATGAAAACTCTAATACAAAGACAAAAATTCACCACTTAAAAAGGCAGATGGCTACATGTATAACTTTAGACAAGAGGTTTCTGACTGTATTATTTCAATGATCCTCAATATTTTGACAGCAAATTGTGACTAGAAGTGACTGAAATATTTGAACTCTTTAGGCGAAACAGAAGATACAGCAGCTGACCAACCAGCGAGACAGCAGGGACAAGGAGGTGACAGAACTGAAGGACAAGAGTGCAGCAGCAGAGCAGAGCAAGGAAGAACTAGAGCTGCGACTCTCCTCACTCAAGTCACAGTATGAGGGTAGGCACCTATTTGTTTCCTGTATCTTTTTTGTTTGCTTGTATAAAGGTTCAGACAAACAGGTAGGTGCTTGTTTTGGGCAAACAATGTAACTCTAGTGCATTGATATACTATTCTGTGGGGATTACATGTATGTTGGACATAGATGATAACAAGAACACCTTCACATAGTTGTGCCTGAATTGCAGGTAGATCATGAGACTGGAACGGGA